CCCCCCCCCCCCCCATAGGATCTGGACTGTCCCGTGTGCATTGTTCCAGAGGAACGTCTGGGCAGGAGCACTAGCTTTAGAGCCCTCTTGTGAGAAGCCTGTCATTTGCCCAGCCCCTCTCTCAGTAGCTCCATGAACACCCTTGATCCCTCTCTACCTCCTGCTTAGGTCCTGGAGCCACCCTGTTGTTGCTGCTTTAAGAAGTGGCTTTGGTAGCTCCCAGAATACTCCCCTGTCCCTCTGTGAACTCTCCATTCCTCCTGACATGCCCTTTTCCCATCCTAAACTTTTCAGGTTCAGGCTAGGGGCTGAAAGGGCTTCCAATTTTCTGTAGTTGGCCTCTTCCCAGACCAGTTTAGCCTCTAGATCCCTCATCTTTTGTCTTCCTTCTCCATTTCCTCCCAACCCAAAGAAGCAATTAGAAGAAAAAACATAAATAGTAAACAGTGATTTCATCATCACTACCATCCTCCTCTCAAAAACAAAAACAAACTAAAATTTTGGTCTCCTGTGACTGATTACCTAAAACTGCCAAGTGGGTGAAAGACAGAATACTCACCTTGTGCTCTCTGGGCCCTTCCTTTGGAATTCTGTGTACTTAGGAGCATCTGGGTCCTGAGCCTGGTTAATGGCACAAATTTGCCCCCTGCTGGTAAAATCGAAGCAAAGGCACTTTCCTTCTCAGAAATCTTTAATTCTAGTTTGCCTCTCGTGCCTTCTCTTCTTTATTAGTCTCAATCCCCACTATCTGTCCTCTCTGTTGTTATTCCCCCTCCCACCCCACCTTCACCTTCAACCATTGTTTTCCCATGGAAACATGGTTGCGTCCTCCAGGGAGCTAGGAANATTGTTATTCCCCCTTCCACCCCACCTTCACCTCCACCATTGTTTTCCCATGGAAACATGGTTGCGTCCTCCAGGGAGCTAGGAAATGTTGATGGCAAAAGGCTCAGAAGGCCTTTCCAACTTCTCTTAGCTTGGGAAGTATGGAGCAGGAGATTGAAAGGGGGAGACTCTGGATGGGGAATGTGGGGAGAGGGAATCAAGGGGAGTGGTGGAAGTGGCTAAACAGAAATGGGACAGAATTGGTAAAGAAGAGCAAGAAATCTGGGGTAAAGGGAAAAGGGTGAAAACAGGAGGGCAGGAATGGAGAAGGAGATCAGGAATCAGGAGATCAGGGGAAGGAGTGAGCGATCAAGAAGAGGTCAGGATTTGGGTATAAACCTAGAAGAGATGACAGCAACAGAAAGTGTGGGGTATAAGTTTATTCTTGTGCACAAACAAAAGTACTGTGACTCACACCCAATATGCAAAGGAAATGATCAGTTTCCAGATCAAGCAGCAAATGTGACCCTTGGTAGTCATGGGTGAGAGGGGAGTCTACACTCCTCTAGGATCAGGGGTCAGGACCTGAAGCTGGAAAGGAACAAGAGCTAGGGTGTGAGGGATGGATTAGGAATACAAAGAGGTTTGGCTCTGGGTGTTTCCTTGCCCTTTCCCTGGTAGTCAGGACACGGTGCAGAAGACAGAGGGATAGGCTCAAAGGAGGTAGCACAGATACCAACTGTTTTTTCAACACTCAGCATATACTCTCACATCCCCCCACCATCATCCACTTCACCCTAACAAATACATTCTTCTCCATCACATTTCCCCCAACCCTCCTCTTGTACACAGTTGGTTTCTTGTTACCTAAATTTACTCTCTGCCAACACTGCATTCTCACTCTCTCACCATGCTCTTCTTTGTGGCTCAATCAATTTCATTAACTTCTGCTCTGCGCCCGGTTCTGCCTCAGTTTCCACCCCATGGCTCTCTTCTTTCTGTCTGTCTTAGGTTTATGAGGAAATGAAGCCCATGATTTGTTCATTCTCAGAAGAACTTTTTCTTTTTGTTCACTCCTTGGGTGCTTGCTGCTCATCATGGGCCTCTCAAGTTGCTGTCTGAAATCCGGCAGAACAGAATTCTGAGTTCAATTCCTGATCTAGCGGGTATAACTCAGCCCATACAAACTGCCTTGGTCCTTCAAGCCTTCTCATACTCCATAACTTTCACAAGATGCTGTATACCAGCTACAGATGCTAGTTTTTAACTCTAGTGAATCTCTTTCTCCCCACTAGACTCTGCCTGCGGGGTTATCTCACCCTGCTTTCGTCAGCGCAAGGGTGAGACCCACACTAGATCTTTATTTAGATCTCTCCTCTTACTCTTGCCTCAGACAGAAGAGCACATCTGTGCACGCACACACACACACTGGCACACATACACGCCTAGGTATATGCCAACCAAGTTTGGGAAAGGTGAGTAGAGAGTAACTGTGCAAACAAGAATCAATTCAGTTCCTTTGCTGCCCGCCTGGTGGGGAGCTTCTTGCTTGAGCTCTCAGTGGTAGCTTCTCCCTGTGCCTCTCATTGACTGTTATGAGGCTCACAGAGAACAGAACAGAGTAGAGAAATAGAGACCAGTGGGGGAATATGGGTGGAGAGACCTAGAGATAAAGACAGAGATCTGGGCAAGAAACTACAGAGACAAAGAGAAACACAGATACCAAAGCAGAAATATTAGGTTGGAAAGCAACAGAGAGGTTGGGAGTCTGGAAGAAGTGGGGGATGGGATACCAACTCCAAAACTATCTCTGGCAGGAGGGAATTTAACCTCCAGATGCCTGAGAGGGGCGGTGCATTGGGCAGGAGAAGCGACTTTAGGAACTGGATGTTCCACCTCTCCTTGGTCCTGGGAGCTGTGCCCTGCTCAGTGGTGGCCTGCCCCAGGCCTCCACACATGAGCCTGCAATCCCGTTTTGGTGGCTGAAAAACGAGGCCTGGCTACCTGGAAGCCACAGGAGCTGGGGGAGGCCCCAAGACCCCTGGGAGATTCTGGAGGAGGGGCTGGGCTCAGGACAGGGACTGAGGCCAGCTCTGCCCTCCAGATGGGCTCATCCAATGTAGTGGCTGCTCGAGGGGCAAGCACAGTGGGGGCCAGGGGCTCTGCAGTGGGCTGGGGTGCTGGAGTGGAAAATCGGCGGATCTCCTGGATTCGGGCAGTTTTGGGGGGCCCTGAGGAGGTGGGGCCAGGAGTCTGGGGAGCCTCATCAAAACAGAACATTGCAGTTTTAAGTTGGTAGGGCTGGTGCCGCATGAAATCCAGAGCCTTGATGCCCTGCTTGGGGGTTGCCCGCGGCCCCTGGGATTGGGCCTTATTAGGGAGAGTTCGGGCAGCTTGGGGGAAAAAAGGTGAGAGCAGTGGGTTGTAGGCAATAGGCGGTGGGGCACGGATGTTGGGTGAGTATTTCCAGGAAGGGGGCAGCGAGGGAGTAGGAGAAGGGCTGCGGGGCCGAGGGCCAAGGCCGGGACTGGGCGTAGCTTCCACCACATACCTGTCTGCTCGGCTTTGCCGCTTGGCAAATAACTCCCCACCCCTTCCCTGCAGCCTGGGCGGCTCAGGGATTCCCGCAGAGGGGGCCGCCCCGTTCACCAGCCCATCAGGGAACCCCCGCGCCGAGGGCTTAGGAGCCACGGGGGGTGGAGTCTTAGGAGGCATCGGGGGCGGGGTCTTGGGAGCCACGGGGGGCGGGGTTTTCGGTGCCACGTGAGGCGGGGTCTTGTAACTCCTGCCCCCTGGTGGCTGCATGAAGTTGCAGGCTTCGGCCCCGAGGCTCAGCGCATCCTCCTCAGGGCCCGATTCCGCGCCCCCGGCCCGGGGTTTTTCATCCAGGTTCTGCACCAGCGACAGGAGCTCGGGGTTGGGCGAGTTCCTCGTCTCCTCGTTTCCCGGCCGGAACATCTGCTTCCGGGTGCCCCGCCGCCGCGCCTCCTGGAGGAT